AAAATTGTAATTGGGTCTTACCCGTTTAAATTAAAAAAAAAAAAAAAAAAAAAAAAAAAAATCAAGTGCAACATCAGTCGGTAAATATTGCATTGCTGAATGCTTGTTATCAAATAAAAATATTATAATAATGGTTGCAATCTACATCTCCCCAAATCAGAAAATGGCTGATATCATCAAATTTATTCATAAAGCATTTTTAGTTTATAGCCATGAAGGTGCAGCTCTTTATGGTGGTGACGAAGATACATGTGCAATGGTCATGAGTGGGGATTTCAATGTTAATTTTGCATCTTCTGATTCAGCACCTCTCGTAACTTTATTGCGAGACAAATTCTGTTTGCAATTGAATAATGATCCAACAATATCGACTACTAAATCAGGCACAACAATCGATGCAATTTACGACGTATTTTGTCCAAAATGTTTACCAATAAACTTGCAATTGATTGTTCTTGGACAGGCTTTCGAAAAAGATCTGACAAAATTTAAAGAGAAAGATTTACAGATTATTTCAATAATGAGAGGTAAAAAAATCAAATAAATTAAATTTATTTTGTAATACTTCAATATAATTATTACTATTTCTATTGTTTATTAGGTGTTATAAAAAATAAATATAAACTTTCTGATTCTATGTTTGAAATGGATGTTCAAAGTTGGTTCAGAACAGGAAAAACTCGTTATGACTGGAAAAAGTAAATATGCATAATTTAAACATTTTAGAATTTTTAAATTTACAATTCAATCAGTTTAATTAATTTCAATGTTTTTTCATGATTTCTTTAGATACAAAATACTATTATTTATTTTTTTATCAATAAAAGCATAATATGTGTATATACTATAAAATAAAAGTTGGATTTAGCTGAAATAGTTAAATTTATTTAATAATAACTTATATCACTGATCAGTCTGTTATTTTTATTATAATTTTTAGTGCTGCCAAAAATCCATAAACGAATCAAAGATATTGGAACTATTTCTAAACGCCAATTTCAAAGGCGTATAAGAAATAAAATTCAATTACACTACAATAGTTTAACAACTGCCACAAATATTGAAATTTAATCATTCAATCAAGGTATGTTTATACCTATATAATATTATATAATTAAAAAAAATAGGTTTGTTCAACTTTTTACTTTATTATTTTAGTTAAATTCATTTGCATTATTAAAACCCCCTAATAAACAACTTCACAAATGAATTTCATACTTGTATTGTAATTATTACTTAAAATTGTTATATATTAAAAATATTAAATTATATCTTATAGATACCTAAATATTTTTTTTTAAGAATATTCTGCAGAGCTCCAACCCATTGATGGCATACTGTATGTAACTAACCAGGATATAGAACAAGATTTAGTTCAACAAATTCGAAAGTGGGCTGTGCAGTTCAATGTATCACATGATTGTGCCAATGAGATGTTAAATATTCTTAGGAACACAGGTCATAAAGTTCCCAAGGATATCCATACAATTCTATGTGAATATAAAGCTGTTAGATCTATTTCAGAAATTCAAAATGGTTCATACTTTAATCTAGGTATTTGTAATATTATACAACCTCATCTTTTAAAACAAATACATAATATAACAATTAATATACCTATAAAATTAAGTTTTAGTATTGATGGTCTACCTTTAATGAAAAGTTCTAAAACACAGTTTTGGCCAATTCTTTTGTCATTCATAAATTTACCAATTTTTAAAAAGAAAATTTTCCCAGTTGGAATTTTTTACTATTTTAACTGTAAACCTGGTAATATAAATTAACTAAATCACATTTTAACTTATGGTATTCAAATAAACAATACAAGATTAATTTTGAAGTAGCTCACATTGTTGTTGATACACCAGCCAAAGCGCTTTCATTAAATGTTAAAAACCATAACGGTTATTTTGCTTGTACTTCTTGTGAAGTCGAAGGAGGTTATTTGGATAGAGTTTGCTTTTTAGATGTATGTGCACTGTTAAGAACAGATAATTCATTTAGATTAAAATCAAATGCTGAATACCATAATGATGAATTAAGCCCATTAATAAATCTACCTATTGATGTAACAAAGTGTGTAGTCCGGCGACCGAAGAACATCCAACAGATGTCGCTATCGCACCATTAGGATTACGCACCGCGGCCTCCGGACTCAATTATCAAATTTCTCAATATTATTATATTAATTTAACCCGTTCGGGTCATAAATTATTACGTATTAACCCTTCTGGCAACTATACTGACCACCCGTAATTCTGTCGGGAATAAAATATACATACGGGACCGCGTTTTTTAGAGGCAAATCTGATTTCAACATGTGGCCCTGTAGGCCTTGTTATATACCTCGAAATCGACGTTCAAAATCATTCTTCCCTGCTCCGAAAGCAGTTGTCGTAAACACAATATCGAATCGGTGCAAGCCAGTGGCAAAACCTCTCGACCTTAAGTCGACCGCGTCTATTGCCCAGTGTCACCATTCCTCGATGACACTCACGGTACACTTCTCAGTGTATAGTCCAGAGTGTCATACCTTTGTGATTGCAGCTACTGCCTAGGGGTACAGTACCCCTCACCACCGTTCATCGTGCAGTCGTTGCCGACAACCGCCGCACAGTGGGAGGAATTGCATTTCTAGCTGGCCAAAAATAGAAAATTTAGGTATGGTGATTAACGATTACAACCAGGAATATTTGTTGCCACTGATACGACGATGGTAAATATATCACATGATGTGGTGATTCTTTCTGAAACTTGGCTCACCCCTGACTTTATTAACTCAGAATTGGGCTTTTCCAACTTCTCAGTTTTTAGACTTGACAGAAATAGCGCTACCAGTACCTTTTCTCGAGGTAGTGGAGTACTAATTGCTATTAGATCTAATTTAAGTCCCTCTCTCATTAATATAAATACTTATAACATTGAGCAAATCTTTGTTTCAGCTAAAATCTCCTCACGTCTCTTCATTTTTGGAGCCGTTTATCTACCTCCTAACTGTCCTTTGCAGTCTTATGAGTCCCATGTTTCATCGGTTGATGAAGTTATCTCCATCCACTCTCCTCATTCTTTCATCATAATCGGTGACTATAACTTACCCAAAATAGAATGGTCTTCTGATAACCTTGGCTTGGTTGTAACGGGAGTGTCTTCACCATCACTTTCCCTCATTGTTGACTCGTTTTCCCTTCTTAACCTCTTCCAGTGCAATTTCATCTATAACTCCTTTGATGGTCTTCTTGATCTAGTCTTTTCAAACTCCAATGATGTCACTACCAGTACCGCTACATTACCTCTAGTCCCTGCTGACTTGTATCATCCATCTCTAGCAATTTGTTTCCCTCTCTCTAAACTTACAAAAAATCCTAATTCGATCTCTTACTATGATTTCAAGAATGCTAATTATGAGGCCATCAATAAGTTTTTTCTGTCATTCAACTGGAACGATACCTTTCCTCTATACAGTGCTAATGATTGTGCCACTTTTTTTTAATGATGCATTATTTCAATGCATTAATTCCTTTGTTCCTCTCAAAATCTATAAAACCTCGTCGTTTCCTCGCTGGGTTACTAAAGAGTTAAAAAACTTAATTTATAAAAAAAAAATGGCTCATTGTTTATTTAAAAGAACTTCCCTCCCAAGTGATTACTGCAAATTTTCAGAATTAAGAGCCAAGTGCAAACGCCTAACTAAGCTTAATTACCAGGCTTATATTAATACTACTCAGACTCAGTTAATTCATTCACCTCGTAATTTTTGGAAATATTTTCATGATCTAAACAGGCAAACATCAATCCCCTCGAATGTTCAATATGGCTCGCTTACTTCTTCTTCTGACTTAGAATCGGCTTCCTTCTTTTCTAAATATTTTGCATCCGTCTTCAAGCCAGTAAATTCATCCTCTTCTCCGGTCCTCCCGTTCTGTGGTAGGTGGGATGACATGTGTCCCGCCGTGTATGAATGGGATAGACCTGGAAAATGATTAAATTAATTTTTTTTTTTTATACATAAAAGTTAATTAAATCTTACTTTTTATACATTGTGGTATTCAGCAAAACAATTCCGGGTTTTCCCTAAGCATAGGGGAACTTCACTAATTGAACATATCCAGTCGGTTCTTACTTCTTTTAGTTTTGAACTGCAATTATTGCATCTTCTCCTAGTCGATCTTTGTAGTTGATGTGCTGACTGCTCTAAGCGGACTTCTTTGGGTACTGCCGGACTTCTTTTTTTTAAATGCTTGGGTGTTATTGGTGAATCAGATGAACTACGGCGTTTTTCAATCAATGTTTTAGCTACCAGCTCCCTTGATACTTGACGCCGAAATTCTTTCATACACATATTTTCTTTTGTTATATCGTTGTATGGAATACGAGCATTAACAATTGTTGCATCGAAAAAAAAGAAAAATATACGGTGCCACCATTTTTGACTTTTACGATCAATTTGGTAGGTTTTTTTATTTTGATCAAATTTATCAAAACAATTCATATAAGAATTATAATCCTGAAGTACAAATGGGCATCGAACCATAGATATAGTTCCATCTTTTGCCTTACGTTTTACTTGCGTTACATTTTTAGTGTCATGGAAATTTGATAATAAATGTATGATTCTTTTATCTTTCCACTTTATAATAGATACTTATTTCCCAATCATAATCACCAACTTTTAATGTTGTGTCTGGTTTCATTTTTGGTAAATATTTACGTGACGAATTAATTGTTCCACACGCATGGATTCCTTTTGTTTTTAAATAATTTAATAAAGGTACACTTGTAAAATAGTTATCCATACATAAGCAATGGTTTTTTTTTTGTATGGGAAATGATTTTTTACAACACTTCCTCCAAGATATTTTTGAACGACATCACCAACTTTACCAATATAAATATCAAAATTTCATAAGTAACCTTTTTGGTCCACCAAAGACCAAACATTGTAGCCCCTTTTTATCGGTTTCTTGGGCATATACTGTTTTAATGTGGACCTCCCTTTAAACTTAATCAATTGATTCATCAACTGCGACTATACGGTGTGGATTATAATATGTTTGGAAATTTTTTTTGATTTTTGTTAAAAAAGGTCGTACTTTAAAAAGTTTGTCATATCCTATGTCTCCTCTTTTTGGCATCAGTACATTATTATTTATGTGTAATGTCGGAAGTAACCACCCAAAACGATTAACTGTCATTAACTTACTAATATACGAGTCATGGAGATCTGGAGACGACGACCAATAATCTCTATAACTTGGCATACGTTTAATACCCATCAACAAATTTATACCAAAAAAAGTCTTTAACTCTTGTATATTAGTTTGAGTGTAAGGTTTACCATTTTTCTGATTTCTTTGAAATGAATATAAGTTTGTTTGTTCTACTAACATGTGGATTATTTCATCAGAAAATAAATAGTTAAAAATTGAATAAGGCGTATGACATTGAAATGTATCAACAGAATCACTGGGCCCTACTGGACTTTCAAAATCTGGCAATGGAGGCCAATTTGAAGTGAAGTTTTTTGACCAATTTGGAGGTGTGAATTCAAATTCTGGTGTATTTTCTACGATGGTATTGTCAATAGTCGATGGCGGTTCAAAAAGGGCGCGAGAAATAGTTTTTTTCCTTTTATTTGTAAGATTCATATTATTTGTTTCAGGCGTTAGCGTAGCGTTTGAATTTAATTTTAATGCATATAGAGTTTTTTTTGGACTTGGTAATGTCAAAATATCACCATTATTCAAACATAAAATTTCTACAAGCTCGTTACCTTCTTCATTTCGTCAGATGAACTACTTTCGACGACTTCAATTGCTTTTTGCTGAGATGGTAAATAATCATGGTCATCAAAATCATCAATATCAGTGAGACTGTTATCATCAGAAGGTAAATCTCCAAAAAGATGGTCTACAATATTTTCATCGTTCAAATTATGATTCATTATTACACCAATAAGTGTTCGAAACAAAAACGAAAAAGTGACAAAAATGAAACAAAAACGACCCAACCAGCACCACGGGTTAAAATTCGTACCACCACAAAAATCAATTTATCGAAAAAAATAATAATTATTTATATTATATAAAAACTCCGGAAAGATTCGACAAACAGAAACGACTGAAATGTACAAATTAATATTTTAGTCAGAAAAACGAACTGTAGGCACAATCGAAATACCATTATCGTATAAAATTCGAGGAAAAATATTGATATATCTTGATTTAATTTTAAATCCAATTAATAACAGTATACACATATATATTAATAGAACAGGGAAAATAATATCCATTTATAGTATAAAAAAAAATAAATAGTTTATAGGTGGGTTATTTTTCGTACCGCCGTGCAGCAACGGTCGGCGCTTTGGTGTGATAAACGTTGTCCCGCCATGCTGGAAAGAGTTATCACGGAGCCTGCCGTCGTCGCAACCACCGTCGCCATAACTGTCTATATCACCGCCGTGTTAGTCATGCCGTCGTTGCCGACAACCGCCGCGTTTTTTCCCCGTAGATAACCACGGTATACGTAATAGTGTATAGTCCGTGTTATCACGGAGCCTGCCGTCGTCGCAACCACCGTCGCCATAACACAAGAGACTCGCGGCTACATTACACGTTACCCCAACATGCATTGTACGCATGCGCGCAGTCTTATCATGCGCAATAGTCTTATCATATTTAAATATTTATCATATTCATATATTATGTTTATGACATATATTTATTTAACAGTTGACATTTCTCACTATTCTCACTATTTCTCACTTATGTTAAGTATTTTCTAATAATTAATAATTATAAGAAAATTATAACAGAATTATTGGCAGATAATTATATATAACTTATATAATAATATATAACAGAATTATTATTTTAAACTGAATTCTATACAATAATAATAATTGAATTAATATTAAATGTAATTATAATTTATTTTTCATAATTAATAAAAAAAGTTATTCATTTTGAAAATATGTGTGATCTACTCCTGTGTGAACATAGGATGTCCCTACACATAACAATTTCATTTTCTGATGGTTTTGGCAGTAGTGGAATGTCTCTTTTTTTAATTGATTTTTTTTGAGAACACTTAACATTCATCTTGATGATTTTTTTCTCAGAATACTGGACTCTTTGTTGAATGATTTTCTTCAAAGGGTTCAAATTTTCTTTCTTAACATGTTTCTTATTAGGATTCTTCATGTAAGAAAGAGCTTTGTCTAAACACTTCAAAGTATTGGGAATATGATCTTCAAGGGTAGACTGAGCATAACCAAGCATCACTTGTAATTTACTTATAAGTTCTTGTCGAGATTTAGAAATTGTATGCTCTGTGATTTCTACTGGCTCTAAAAGATTTATAGTTTGAATGATTTCATTTTCCCCTTGCATGGCTATAGGTGAAAATTCATTTCAATACTCATTTTCAATAGGTGAAATATTTGCCCTGCCAGAACCAATTTTATGTATATGCTTGCATATATTTAAATAAACCCTACTGTCAATGCAAGAACATTGATATGTATGAACACACACATTACATGTTCTGCATTGCAAGGGGCATACATTTTCAATACATACCTTTTTCAAATTTTCTACCTTATACATATGACTAGGATCCTTGAGTGATGCAACAAACTATATACATTTGTTTTCAGAATCTTGACTTACATAACAGTCTTCAATTTTTAAACTTTTCAAATGACCATCTCTTATTCGTCTTATTTTCTCTGTTGGTTTATTATTTGCTATTTTGATAATGCGTTCAAACATAACATCTCTCATTAGGTCAAATAACTTATGGATGGCTTTATCTAACCGAATGCATATCTTGCCATCTAAGAAGATGTATTTTATTTTCATATGTAAATTTTCAAGATGCATATTAGTGTTTAAACCTGTATGTTTCCGGTAACAGAATGCCCAACACTTTTTCTTCTTGATATAAGTAGTGCAAAAATATGTATAGAATATCCAAGTATCTTCATCTTCTTGAAGCTCATTTAAAAATATTTGTAGATTCACTTCAAATTCATCTTCATTTTCAATATCAGTTGCTAAAACATAGAGACTTTTTTTTACAAGCTCTCTTTTTTTCTTTATTTTTGATTTTAGAGTTCAAATTAGATGTCCAGTTTTTATTAACATGCCACCAACATAGCAAATGATGTTGAGGGGCGCCCATAACTTGCTCCCAAGCATTATAAAACTGAGGTGCATCATCAGACATGAAAACGTCTGCTTCAATCTGCAGACCAACAGCTTCTTTTACTTTTTCAAAAAATAATAGCATAGAAGTAGTGTCTTCCTTATTAGAAAAGAAAAATGAAACTGGAACACCATTCCCATACTCATCGATTACAAGTAGTGTAAAGAACTGAATTTTTGGCTTCTTTGCATTCATCCCATGTGTTCCATCAATGCAAATACGATTGTGGTGACCTGATGTTTTCAATATTTCTTTTTGAAAAGGAGTCATAATAATTAAATGGAATAAGCTATCACTTTTGTTGTAATGGAGTATAACGGTGTCCTCTTTTTCGAGCAGAGTATGAACTAGAACATCTACACTAACTTCGTCATCTTCATGAAATTTCATTGTATGATATCCAAGTTTGTAATCACGTTGGATATTACGTACGTCCTTTTTCTCTGTATAATGAATACGGTCAAACTTCTCAGGATCTGGATTACTTGTACTTCTTATGTCTTGCATTATTCGGTCCACAGGAACACCTTGACGAAGCTTTCCTTAAAAAATTACAAGTGAAGTATAAATGAAAAACTTTGGTAAACAAAATTTAATTATAAACTGAAAGAGAGCCTTACTTACCTGCAATACAAGCTCGTTCATCATTTGATAGTACCATTCTGGTCACCTCACATTTGTGACCCAAATGTAAGCGAATGAAATCTACATTGACTTCAGTTCCTTTGATTTCCACACACATTCTGGATGGGCAGGCAACTGAAATTTTATTTGTACCCAAACTTTTAATAGCTCTCTTACGCCTTTCAGTCTTTACAACTGGCACGAATGATCGGTGACAAAAGAATTCTTGGCGAATCTTACTACCATTGGAAATTTTTCTTTGACCCGAAGATCTGACATATCTACTTCGAGTTTCCTTTTCAATGTTCTGTTTCTAATCCTTGAATCCTATAAGTTGAATAAAAAAAGGTTTCATATTTTATAAACTTATAAGTATGTATGTTAAATTAATAATCAACTCACTGTTTTCTCCGTCAAAAGTAAAGTGTTCTATTGTTACAGTCATGTTATGTTCAGAACTCATGTGGGAATATAGGTCATTGTTTCATTTAAATGAAAACTTGCATATAGCACAGACAATACGACTTTTATTCTTTTCTATAAAACAAAAGTTTCCACTCTTCAGAAAGTTACCCAGTATTATTTTTTTCCAAGTCTGGCTGAGTTAGTTACTTTTTTTAATTCATTAAGTTAATATGGAAAAATATAAGTTACATTAGTTTTTTTTTAGTAACAAATAACATACCTAGTTATTCAACAAATGTCTTACAATTTTAAATAAATGTATAATGTATGTATTAAAATTAATTACTGTAGATACTTAAATTCAATGATGAAATCCAACAATATAATTAATAACTGCGGGTTTGCATTGTTTTCAACCAAACCAAACCAAACCAAGGCAAAAAATGTTGATTTATAAATGATTATTTAAGTACTTACTATACTTGACAGTTATATAATAATTATTATATTACTTACATAATAATATTGTGTACAATATGTATATAATAATGTATTATATTATATACATATAATAATAGATAATAAATATAATTGGTATTCGGAAAAAAAAGCAATGTACCAACTAAATACATTATTCGTTATTTTATTATGATTTACATATTTAAATATAATCATTACATTTATCTATGTACACTTCTTTTTTCTTTAAAATATTTAAAAGTATAGTTGCAATCTGCATTTAACTTTGTCGATAATTATCATTTGTCATTTGTACCAACATAATTCAAAAAATGTTTAAATTTAAAATTTAAAATAATTATCCAGTGTTTGGAAGCCACCTTCGAGTTGGTTGAGTGTCCAAAGATTAGATTATTATTTACATTTGAACAAATAAGTTTTTAAACTATAACTTGTACCTTTACCCTGGTAATTTTCCTGTAATATAATAAACAATTGAAATTAATAAAACTTTATAAAATAATTATACAATAAATAGTAACATATTTATATTATATCTTAGTTAAAAAACGAACACTCAAAGTTATTGATTGTATATTGATGTTTATATATATATATTTAATTATTAATGAAGTAGAAATATAAAACAACTGTACTGTAATTATTTACATAATATTATATTATACAAAAAAGCATTAAACGTGATTAAATAAAATTAGTTTTGTTAACTTATGTCTTAGAGTTGACTTTGAACCATGGTTATTTTGTGTCATCTGTTTACACTGTGTATAAACTCTTAAGGAACAATAATACGATGATATAAATTTAATAATTTTCATTTCATGTGATTCTAAAGAATAAGTGTCAATAATTGGATGTTCAGGCTTTAAATTTCTTATTTTAGATATAAAATGTCGTTGAACTTTTAATACAATCTCTTTTTTAAAATTGTGGTCTTTCATCTTTGCAGAATAAGTTTGATAAAATGTTTCACTAAATAATATTATATCAAAAATAAATGTTGAAACAAACTTCAATTTGCCACGTGATTTAAAATGTGTAAAATTTAAATAATCAGTAATTGGCAATAAAGAGTAATTGTGGTCTTTATGAAAAATATCTTGATTTAAAATTAAATCTTCACAAAATGTGCAAGGAAATTTATCAAGAAACTTTTTTGCTGCATTCCCAGCTATATAATATAAAATATTATTTTGATAATGACTGAATATATTTTCATTTAAA